CAGGTAGGTTCTCTCTCTCTTTAATAATTGTTCCTATTTTCTATTTTGCTTTTCTGTTTTAGATTTAGTAATAATACTAAACCATTTTTAAAACTCCTGAGTAAATTTGTGGGCACTTTTAAAATGTTTACTAACAGCCCTCAAATGTTTTCAGAATTATTGAAGCATTTAAAATATTTATAGCCATTAAATGCTCCAATTCAAATACTTATGATTTAATCCAAAAACCTGAAATGACCTAGGGAAAATATGCACCAATTTTTGTCAGAGGTTTTCACCAGTTTCAAAAATGATGGACTTTTCCTAAAGTCACTTTGGGTTTATTGGAAGTGATTTTATTTTGACCCTAGGTTAATTCATTAGCTGCTAGGGTTTATCAGCCCCCATTTCAAATTAAATAGAATTTAAACATGATGCAACAAGATGCAAACACCATGCAGAACCAGAAGCTAGGGATGTGACACCGGACTTGTAATCAACTTGTAAGAGAAGATAGACTAGTCCTAGTCCTACTAGGACTCCACATGTAACCCGCCCCTCTAACTTATATAAGGAGGGGCAGGGCTCCCCAAGAGGGAACAAGAACAATCTCTAGGGCTAGACACGAAGAGCCGGCTTACCGGCGACTCTCTCATGATCATAATGAGACCTAGCCACAAACAGCATGTAGGGTTATTACCGGATGATGTTTCCCGGGGCCTGAAGCTGTCTAAATCCTCATCTTGTGTGTTGTGTTTCTCGTCCCGATCAACCCCTCTCAAGCTACTGCATAGATGCGTTGGCCTCGCGACTAAGTCCTGGCACTAAGGACATCTACCGTGACAATTCCACGACACCTGGGTCTATTTTCCACCACATATTTTTTGATCTATAAACCAAAAATACCAAAAATACCTTGTTGCAATTTATTTCTTTTTACTTTGTTTTACTTTTTAGTAATCATTTATATCTATCTCTATCAGATCTCATCCTTGCAATTGACCGTGAAGGGATTGACAACCCCTTTATCGCGTTGGGTGCAAGTGTTTGATTGTTTGTGCAGGTGCACAGATTGGGGACTTGCTCGTACCTCCTACTGGATTGATACCTTGGTTCTCAAACTGTGGGAAATACTTATCTCTACTTTGCTGCATCACTCTTTCCTCTTCAAGGGAAAAACCAACACAAGCTCAAAAAGTAGCAACCGCACCATGGTTGAGGTGTTTGGACCTGAGTATCTCAAAGAACGATTACAAGAAATATGTCAACTTGCGACCATCACTATTGGTCGCTGAATGGTCATTGTTTTTTATTTGCGACCTTTTTGTGACCCAAAACAGATGGTCAAAAGTTGGCCATCTTTAATGGAAATTAACAACCTTCTTTGTGATAAGGTCGTTGAAGGCAACGACCAAAACAAAAGGTCGTTAGTTCAACGACCTTTTGTTTTGGTCGCTGGTTGTCTGCCCAGGCCACATCGGATCCAACGTGGCAAGCTGACGTGGCAAATTTGCGACGAAGTGAAAATGTCCTTAATTAGAATCAGCCCGGTCCAATTCGACGTTTTACTTGGGCCAAGCCCAACAATTCAACCTTTTTATATCTTTCTGTCAATTTTTGGCCGGCTTCATGGGCCAAGCCCAACATTGCTTCCTTTTTTATTATTGGGTCATGGCCTTTTTGTCTCAACAGTTTCATTTTTCGTTATTTATGAAAATGGGTCAACTAGTCAGGTGGCTCCCTGTTGTCAGGTTCTGGTAACTGGGTCCCATTTGTCATGTTCTAGTAAGTGGGTCCCATTTATCAGGCTCATAGTCTTCATATTTCAACTAGCATTTAAATTGACAGAGACATGAAACACACATGATACTTCACGTAAGAGAAACTAGATCATGTAATACAATGGCAATCACACTAGATCATGTAATACAATGGCAATCACAGTAACAACTACAAGTGTAATACAATACTTTACAAGCTCTACAAGCTTTACAAACTCCTTCCATAGAAATCACAAACTAGGCACCTGCTCCCGTCATGAACAACATGCCAAGCTCGTTGGACGACTATAGTTAGATGAACAACATGCAGACTCGTTGGACAACCATAGTCAGGGCTGGGAACAAACAAAACAGCGACATGCCTTCCTCGGTCACCCTATTACATGAATCAACAGAGACGAATCAGAAAAACTGGGGCAAATATATTATGAACAGACCATTTTTTGTTCTCCAGCTAGTTAAAATGAGGTACTCGTACAAGAAAACAAAGACATAATATGAAAGCTAACAGTAGGGACGCCATAGCTGAAATGAGCAAGCTATTTTGTATTTGAGAAACAAAAAACTGCACCAATAATTTTTCAAAAGGTAATTGAACTTCTGTGCACACATTTGGATAGAAACAGGGGATTGAACTATACACATTAATTAGAACAGGATAGCAAAACACCAATATAAGCTTCAATTGACAAGTACATAGTAGGATTCAATTCGTCTTGCCCATATACAGCAACCAACAGACATCTAACTTCATTATTTTACCGCAAAAGATCGGCCCATAGCAATAGAAGCACAAAATTTAAGCTCGCAAGCACATTATAGCAGGTAGTAATAGAAGCACAAAATTTAAGCTTGCAAGCACATTATAGCAGGTAGGGAAGTGGGAAGATGAACTAATTTAGATGCCAATTGACAACATACATCACACCTCATCCACAACACTACACTTATAAGACAGTTGGAAAATGGCACAAGCATTTCAACAAATAGTTCATGTTGACGATTAAGTTGTGTAATACAGAGGGCAATTAGACTAGTGCGAACAAGAAGATAATTTACAAGTTACAAACTATAATAGCAAATAGCCAAATGTTCCAACCAAGATCAACCAGAGCATGCAAGAGAGGGAGAGATCCACCACAGACTAAATCAAATTACCACAGACTAGACGTGCAGGTGCATATGCTTGTGAGAAGAAATGGAAGCAAATGCGGGCACCGTAGCAATAGCACACCCCAAAGTGAGATCCTTGGCGCTGAACCTAGAGAGGAATCGGATCTGCATTTCAGAGTGGAGAGGAATCATTGAGAGCTGCAGTTCAGCTGATGTTTGCGTGAATCAATTAGTTTGACTGGTAGACTGTACTGCAAACTAATGGTGGGTGCTAAATCTGAAGAAGTAAATAACAAGAGAGGAAACAAAGTGTACCTTGTTTTGTCCCAAAGCCAACAAACTGTGGAGTTTTGTCAGGCAAACCAGAAAGATAACCTACAATTAACAAAACAATAATTTGCAAATGGCCAAATGTTCTAATTAAGATGAACAAAGGACACGTGATTTGATTCAGAGGATCCACTCAAGCGGACTAAGAAGGAACAAAAAAACATTACCAGGACGAAGGGATGCTCTTGAAACCTCCATGCTTGACCTTGCTTATTAGTACAATAGGCATTGCAAGTGAACGACAAAGAAGAAAGTGATAAGCATAAATAACTCATCCATCTGTGTTCAAACTGTAAATTCAATAGCATGGTACACCCATAAAGAACAACAGCTTGCATGTCTAGGATCTAGCCTCTACACAATTTGCACAGCGGGCAGTATGAGCTACCTACTAGCAAAGTATAAAACCTGAATCATATAGTATAAATGAATCAAGAAAAGAAGAACTAACAGTGAGAACTGCATACTAATCCACCAGATGATCAACATCAAGCGTAGTATATTCACATAAGTTTGCTTATTCGGTAAATTATTGTATACACATGAATCAAACCTAAGAATTCAGAATCATAGTGCCTCATTCGGTACATTATAATATACACATGAATATTGTAGAGCTTCAAAGATAAGACACATATGTGAAATGTATACTACAATAATGTATACTTGCTGTGTGGATATGTATAATTAACCTTTAGTGTATCGCATCTCGAATACAACTAAACTACTAGTACCTAGCAATCGCATGCAACTCAGTTTTTGCTCAATGATGAAAAAGGCATGTTTGTGTTTGAGCTTAGTTATTTAGTTGAACTATATATGGTTCAACTAAATAGGAGGAGCTTTCCATGACATGGCTTTAACTCAATTTCTAAGCTAGGAAACAAAAATTCCCACTCTCCATGACGTTATCTCATCACTCGTGATTTGGAGGCAGCAAGGGTATGAGTAATGGATGCGCTACTGGAAAGAGCTGAGTGGGATTAGTACCTGGAACTTGCACTTGATGGAGTCATGGTCGTCCTCCTGCTGTTGTACCCCCATGGAACCCATGTGCTGCACAAGAAGGATAGATGGGTTATCAGCTAAAATCAAAATCGACAGCTGCTGCTACACAAGAGCCTATGATTAAGCTCAACAATGAAAAAGACATGTTTGATGTGTCTTGGAAAGAAAAGAAACATGTGATGTTTTTTCCATCAAGATCAACATAAAAAAAATTAAGCAGTAAGGGGAAGGGTGGAGGCGGCTTAAGCGACTACAATACAATAATTAGGTAACCACACATGCAGAGTAAGTGCCTGGAATGCGAGATGATAATAGTTTACAACTGTAAAAGCACACATTGTTGCTTCAGTTAAAGCTTATAGAAAGACAAGGTAAATGACATATAGCTGCACTTCCTATTGCTGAAATGTGAACTCGGGTTGCTAAACCAGCAAAGATTAAGCACTTTCAACTGCCAGATCTAGACCCATAGTCTGCATGTTGCAATGTGACATTCCTAGAAGCATATAGTTACAGAATAGAAGCAATTTTAGTTACCCAATCACCCACGACACAACCCCACTACCTTCATATGAAATGCCTGCTGCTAATCAATAAGCCAAGATAGAAATTAACGCAATGATAGTTGAAGTACTACTGGTGCTACTACCGCTGCAGAATTGGTGGAGATGCACCCACCTTGTTGGTGTAGATGGTCTAGTTGGTGAAGAGCTTTGACAGCATGAATCCAAGCAGCCCAAAGAGCGCACCGGAGGCGTGCACGGAGATTTTGTCTCTAATGAACAGGGACTACATCACGCTGCCCCCGAAGCCAGACACGAGGTAGATGATGCCGACTCTCACTGCAACAAAATTGACGGGAATAATATCAGTTTAGAATGTTCAGGTAATGGGAACATCAGTTCCGTCGACGAACATGTACCGAATTTGAACTGCTGCTCGAGCCTGAGCCCAACGAGCATGAGGTTGAGCATGTTGGCGAGCAGGCGGACGACACCGGCGTGGAGCCAGATGCAGGTCACGAGTCTCCACCCCTCGTGCTCGTGCACCACCTTGTCCCGCACGAGCGCGCCCAGCTTCTACAATCTAGAGACAACAATATGCGCCCGGGAGCGTAAGAGATGGCGAATATCTTGTTGAGTTGAAGGAATCGAAGCGTCGAGAACTGAATTGTTGAAGAGACGAGATCGACGGATCACTCACGTGGTGAACGAGGGCCCGCACCAGTGGCGTGAGCGCCAAGGGCGCCAGGTCGGCCTTGAGGGGCATCGTGGCCTCCGGGGACGACGAGGCCGCCGTCGTCGCCGCAGAGCCAGCCACCCGCGAGGGCGGCCAGCAGGCTTGGCCTGGACGTGCTTGACCTTGGAGAGGATCTCCCGCGGCCACCATCGCTATTGCTGCTGCTGGATCCGAGCTTCGGGGATTGGGGATCGGGAAGACGAAACCCTAGCTGTGGTGGAGGAGGAAGAAGAGCTGGGAGCGGGAGCGAGGTTCGGGTGCAGCGCGAGGGAAGGAGGGCGCCGCCGCTGGCTACGGGAAGAGAGGGGTGAGGGAGAGGTCGAGACAAGGGGTGGCGGTGGTGGTGAGGAGCTGGGGACGAGGGAGGAAGGGTGCGATGGGGGGATCTGAGCTAGGGTTTGGGCTGCGGGTGGGGTATATCTTTTTCATTTTATTTTACTTTTTTCTGTAGATAGATGGATGGATGTGAGATGGAAAGATGGATGGATGGATGGATGGGCGACATGTCATCAATTCATGGGAAGAGTTCTGATTGGTTCAGAAAATCAGTAATTTAAAATAATTTCCAAGTACTAAAAATAGGGAGATTTTGTGAAGCACCTATCAAAAATATTTTGCAAAAGGGAAACACACAAATTTTCACTAGAGTTAGACCACATTTTATGGATCAGGACCAATCGGTATTCATTTCTGATCTTTCTAGCTATTTTTAATCATTTCCCGAGTGGCAAAAATGGTTTTTTTTTGTGAAGAACCTACCAAATATTTGTTGCAAAATTGGACTCCATCAATTTTCAATACTAGTCCATATTTAATATACAATTGACCAAATGGTTGGTGTCAGAAGCTTTGATCCACCTCTTGTGAAAAAGACAAATTTCCGCCGATTTAGGTGGAAGCGGGTCAAATTTGAACTGCAGTTGCCTGATAGTTTGCTCTTTATTTTTTCCAAAAGTTATTTCTAGGTACAAAAGTATCTATTTCTTCATAGATACTCCAAAATATTTGCAAAAATCAAGCTCTAGTTACGAACGGTCATACCCGCCATTTTAACCGCATTTTGAAATGGGCATAGGAAATTCAAAAAAAATTGGAAAACCTTCGCATTGTGTCATTATGTGTGGCCAAGTTACCATAAAAACAATAAACTTGTAATATGGTAATTATTTTAAAAAAAATTCTCAGAGATAAGCTATCATGTGTGAAGATCAATGGCTTTTAAGCCAAATGATCAATGTTATGGTAGCATTCATGGAATAGTTTGTTAAAATAATATCATATTGTGCATAAGAGTGCATCTTGGAATGGCACACAATGTTGCCTAAGGAAGTTTTCATTTTATTTGGACAAAAAATTCATTTTCCATTTTTTGAGTGCCCAAAATGAGTTTTTTATGAAGGACCTATCATATATTGTTGCAAAATTGGACCAAATAGTTTTTATAAAGTATTAGGCCATATTTAATGTACAATTGACCAAATGGTTGGGTGTAACAAGCTTTGATCCACCTCTTGTGAAAAAGACAAATTTTTGCCGATTCAGTTGGAAGCGGGTCAAATTTGAACTGCAGCTACCTCATAGTTTTCTCTTTATTTTTTTCAAAAATCATTTCTAGGTACCAAAGTATATATTTCTTCATATATACTCAGAAATATTTGCAAAAATCAAGCCCTAGCTACGAACGGTCATACCCGTCGTTTTGACCGCATTTTGAAATGGGCGTAGAACATTTTAAAAAGAATGAAAAAATGGAAAACCTTCGCATTGTGTCATTATATGTGGCCAAGTTACCAGAAAAAATAATAAACTTGTAATACGGTAATTATTTTTAAAAAATGTTCTCAGAAACAAGCTATCATGTGTGAAGATCAATGACTTTCAAGCCAAATGATCAATGTTACGGCAGCATTCATGGCATAGTTTGTTAAAATGATCATATTGTGCACAAGGGTGCATCTTGGAATGGCACACAATGTTGCCTAAGGAATTTTTCATTTTATTTGGACGAAAAATTCATCTTCCATTTTTTGAGTGCCCAAAATGAGTTTTTTTAAGGTCAACCAACCATATATTTGTTGCAAAATTGGACCAAATCAATTTTCTAAAATATTAGGACATATTTAATGTACAATTGACAAAAAATGGTTGGGTGTCAAAAGTTTCAATCCACCTCTTGTGAAAAATACAAATTTCCGTCGATTCAGCGAGAAATGGGTCAAATTTGAACTATAGTTGCCTTATAGTTTGCTCTTTATTTTTTCTAAAAATCATTTCTAGTTACATAAGTATCTATTTAATCAGAAATACATGGTTTGGTGGCGATATGTTGAGGTTTGGACTGTGGCCGAGGGCCCCAACTCCAGAGCGCGTAAACTCGCATGCCCGTCGCGTGGTCACCGTGTGACTGTGGCCTTGACATGCGTTCTGGGAAGCCTAGGCATGTCTAGTGGGTTGGGCACTCCCCAGGTAGGTGCTAGGAAGAAAATGACAACAGAAGATTCTCATGAGGAGACCGAACTATGCTCAAATATGAATTAGCAGTCAAGTGTTTGATTAGCGGTACGAGAAATGCACATGGCCAATTGGCGTGAGTTTTGGCTGAGGATTATCATCTACTAAGAAGACTGTCTTCACAAATCTTCAGCTCAAATGGAGGAGCCTAGGTGGTATTTGCTTTGCAAAGTACCACATCGGACAGAAATATGAAAGTTGAAGGTGGGCTCAAAATAATGAATGGATTGAGCTGAAATTTGGTGGAGGATGGTTATTTGGGCATATGAAGGCACTGTAAAAAATTGATACCATTTGGACATGCCAAAGTGGTACTTACTTCACAATGCTCTTCTCTGGACAAAAACTTGGGAAAATTAGTGAGAGAAATTTGATAAATGAAATGAGCTCAAATTTGGTGTAGGTAAGTTACATAGGTATGGTCATGCCCTGGTAAATTTTCAGATCATTTGGATAAGCCTAGCTAGTACTTACTTCACAAAGCTTCTCTCTAGATAGAAACTTTGGAAATTTTCTAAGGAAGATTTACCAGGAAAATGGAGCTAAATATTATCATGTGGTAGTCATTTGGGTATGGAAGAGTGCCCAAAAAGTTTGAGGGTAATATGAGGGGTCTAGATAACACTTTCTTTGCAATGTGCCAATCTGGCCATAAAATAGAAATTGAACCTGGGCTCACGTAGATGATTTGACTGGGCTGCAATTTGGAGGAGGGTGACAATTTGGGCATATGAAGGAACTGTATAAATTTCATGTCATTTGGATATATAAAAATGGTACTTCCTTCACAATGCTCTCCACTGAACAGAAAATTGGGGAAAATATTGAGGGAAAATGGTTAAATTAAATGAGCTAAAATTTGGTGGAGGGAGATTCTATGGGCAGGTTCATGTCCTGGTAATTTTTCAGCAATTATAAAGCAATATAAAATATAGTTTCTTCACAAACTGAAAATATTACGAGAAACAAAGATTGGATGATGATCTCTCATGGATTGTTAGATGGGGCTAAAATTTTGTGGAGAGCTATTATATGGGCATATAGAATATGTGGCAAAAATTCAACTCATTAGGATATGCATAGCTAGTACTTCTTTCACAAAGGTTCTAGGTGGACAAAAACTTTGAAAATTTGCTGAGGAAGATTTACTAGGCAAATGGAGCTGAATTTTGTGCCCAAAAATTTTGAGGGCAATCAAGAATATATAAATAGCACTTCCTTCACAAAGTGCTGCTCTGAACAAAATAGAAAAATGAATATTGTTAAATTATTTTTGAACTAGACCAGGAAGGGTTTTTTTACATATTTGACGAAGATGTGACCTAAAGAATTTATGATATTTTTTTGGAAATTTTGGGAATAACAGAAATATAGGTTGCTTCACAACCTAGGGCAAAAATTAACACATGGACACATAGGCAAAACTGATGAGGTGGCGCCTAGTCATAGCAATCCACCACAATGTACATGGTTATGACCATCTATATTGGTCGTGATCAGCTAGACATAAGGCAGCGGACTAGTGTTGTCTGCTTTATGACCATTTCGTGTAAGGAAATTACGACCTTTCTGACCAAAATGGTCGTTATAGTTCAGGGTTAGGAGCCCTCCGAACAGCTTGCGACCAATTGGTCTCAAATGGTCGTAGATTTACGACCATTTCTTCCAGGGTCACTGGCAGAAGGTCATAAGTTAACATATTTCTTGTAGTGAACCAAATGCGCAGGACACGAAGAAGTTGTTGGCTATTGGAGAGGCAAGGGGGTTTCCAGGAATGCTCGATCATTTGATTGCATGCATTGACAATGGAAAAACTGGCCTAAAGGTCCGCGGGGAATGTATTAAGGTCACACCAGAGAGGCCACCATCATACTAAAAGCGGTGTCATCACATGACTTATGGATTCGACATGCTTTCTTTGGAATGCCCGGTTCTCACAACGACATCAACGTGCTTCAACGATCTCCGGTGTTCAGTAGGCTTTGCAATGGAGAATCACCGCCGTGCAACTACACCGTCAACAGCCTGGACTACAACATGGGGTACTATCTTGCCGATGGTATCTATCCTCAGTGGGCGGCGTTTGTGAAGACCATATCCGAGTAGCGTGGCAATAAACAAAGCCACTTTGCAACAATGCAGGAACCGGCTAGGAAGGACGTGGAGAGGGCATTTGGTGTGTTTCAGACTCATTGGGGAATTGTGCGGAGCGCTGCAATGATATGGGAATCAGAAACTTTGTGGCGGCAGATGACATATTATGTTATTTTGCACAATATGATTGTCGAGGATGAGGGTGATGGTGTAGCCCAAACCCATGATTTCGAAGGACCCGGAGAACAAGTTGAAATTCCGGAAGATCAAGATGCGTCTCAGCTTATGAACTTTCTGCAGATGCATCAGAATCTTCGAGATCAACAGGTGCACACGCAGCTCTTATGGAGCACATGTGGATCTACAATGGCAACCAAGGAGGCAATGCTTGAGTTTGGCACTTCAAATAAATTTTATATAAACGCTTATGTATGCTTGATGTCAACAATAGCTATTTATATGTGACATTGTGTTGCATGATCGATATGCATGTATTTGCATGAATTTGAGAGTCCTGATTTGAGATATGTGTATGCCCAAAACAA